AGTGAGATGGAAGCTTTTATTAAAACAGAGCAGTTTTAAGTGATCAGCAAAATTGCAAGAGAAGTACAGAGACTCTCCATGTTCCTCTGCCCCCATAGGTACATTCCCTACTATTGACATACACCATCGGAGTAGTACATTTGCTATAGCTGACAGATCTGCATTGACACATCATTATTACCTATAGTCCATGTTTTATATTATGGTTCATTCTTCATACTTTATATTCTATGTTTCTGGAATAATTTACACTGACATGTACAGGTGGAGGCTTAAACCATGTATATTTATTATTTTGATAAAAATAAGCAAATAGGATAAGTGGAAAACTTGGGGGTTTTCAAAGTTTGTTTTTTGCTCAATTTACCAATAGTATCTTAAGACATGGCACTGTCACATGGTCTTTCCTCTTGAAGGTCTCTTATGACCAGTGAGGAAGAGGAGGAAAGCAAAGAATGCCTATTTACCCCATCATACATGCTAACTGAGAACTCTAGGGTTTTGGCTTAGTTACTATAATAGTCAGGAAATCAGAAACCACTTTATGCATCTCAAATAGGAAGGATTTTAATATAGGGAATTACAGATTAGGGGAGAAAAGGTCTGGGAAACCATTGTAACAATGGCAGTTCACAGCACTGAAGCAGGAGTTTCTCAGGAAGTTATTTGGGAGCTGCTTCAAAACGAACAGGCACTGAATCATCAAGATTAATGGTCAGCCCTTCCAGAACTCACTCAGGGCCTCTCTTCAGCAGATCTTTCTTGGAACCATAATTGAGAGGTGCATTCCTTCAGGAAATGTAGTCCCTGACCTCTCCTTGGCAAAGGAGACCTTGGCAGGGAGTGGCAGCAATGTCAAGTTGATACAATCCAACCCAGTTCCCAAGGACTTTGGTGATGGCTTATGTGAAATATCCAATGATAAGAGCAAAGGCCATGTGACAAGATGTATCCTCTCTCTTCTGATACCATTCTATCCACAGTCCACCCCCAGGGTGGGGGTGGTTAGGAAAGATATATCTGTAGGAGCTGGGTACAGTTTGTTTATCAGATCTTTAGAGAATGTCTTTCCATGTCACTACTGGACCTGTAGAAAACTTATTATACTGGCCTTGTGACTATCTTCCTCCTTCTGGAAAGAGTGCACATTGACCCCATGGCTCCTATTCTGCAAAGGACTAGTTATTTTCATTCTCCAAAAAAGTAACAGGGACAAGTTACTAGCAAGGGGCAGGAATGAAAGCACAAGATGTTATGTAGAGTCCTGTTCTTTTTCCCTATTTGGAAAGTTCATGAATGCTTTCCATCTTGTGACATTTGTATTAGCAAGCAGAAAAAATGCTATCTTATGCCTCAAATAATCAAAGTTTTAGGAGAGTTTTTTCACTCCAAGTTATCTAAGTTATAAAAGAAGTCCTGAGGTCACCTCACGCTGCCTTAAAAAGCACAGACCAGACAGATGTCCATGGAGTTAGATGGAAGTTGCTATTTCTGCCACTTGTGTAATAAAAGAAAGACACCGTAACAGCAGAAGGCTGAGAAACCAGGTAACCAATAACAGCCAATCATAACATTACCTTGGGTAAAAAGTAAAATGAATAGCATTAAAAAAAAACTCTCCTAATTGGTGTTTGTTTCCCAGCTCTTGTTATTTTATTTCACTTTCATCAAAAAACAACAATAAAACACAGTTAACTATTTAATCTCCCCTGATCTTGTGAGGAAAAGATCCTACTAAAGATGAGACTGTATTTGACTCCCACAGTTCTGGGGACATGAAGCAATCAATAAAGCTCCTTGAGAATATGATAGCAATAATCTCTGCTGAAATCTGTATTATCTGATGCTGGAAGGACCACAGTTGACAGAGGATTCTGGGAGTTAACTTCAACTGTAGTGGAGGGGAAAACAATAAGACACACGGAATCTGCACCCACGTGTTTACTCTCTAACTGGACCTCAGCATTGGAGGTGGCAGGCCTGACAAAGGATATGGCCTCAAGCTCAGAGCCACACCCTAAGGAAGTCATCCATGCACCTGGGACTCTATGCCAGGTCAACAATTCTTCCAACCCAAGAAACAGATGGGCCATGACTGGAGACACAACCAAATTAAAATCACCCACGCCCTACCCTTACGAGCTGTGATTGGAGGAGTTATTTAGTTCCTGTTCCTGGAAAACAGAGAGAAAACCCAACTAAAAGGTTATTGGAAGGATTCACTGGAATAACCTATGTGACACCCAGCATGCATCTGGTCCCTAGTAGCCCTTTACAAGTATCAGTGCCTTTCTAGCACTCAAAAGGCAGTGGAAGGAGGATGGCAAGTTCAAAGCCAGCCCTGGCTACACAGTGAGTTCAAGGCTGACCTGGACTACATAGTGAGGCCCTGTCTCAAAAACACACACACACAAACACAACAAAAAGAAAAAAAAAAGCCTTTCATAGGCATTATCTTTTCCACTTCTCCCTCTTTCTTTTCTTTCTTTTTTTTTTTTTTTTGGTACTGAGGATTTAACTCGGGACCTTGCGCTTGCGAGGCAGTCGGCTGAACCACTGAGCTAAATCCCTGGCCCAACTTCTCCCTCTTTCTAAATCCTCTCCTGTAGGTCACAAATATGATAGTCATCATAACCATAAATGTGTTACTTTCTGCCTACTGTACTGGAAAATGATGATTTTTTTAAAGCTGTAGAAATATATATCAAAGGCTTTGAAGGAAGTGGGAAGAAATCAAGCCTTCTTGAAGAAATGGCTGATTTTGAGGCGAGATATGTACAAGATAAGCCTGAAATGACTTAGTCTTCCAAAAAGCAAGGAGGTTTTCAAAGACAATGATTGTCAAAAGAGTCAAAAGTCAATTTAAAAAGACTGGCCCAAGGTAGGACAACTTAAGCATCAGTAAAGACAATAATAGAATTGTAGTTATAACATCCAGGCACTCATAAAGACACTAAAACAACCAAACAAACCTCCTTTGTCACCTGTGGAAGATAGGGGAACCAACTCATTATTTTAAAACTGGCAAATAAAGGAAAAGAAGAAATCCTATCCATACCTGAGGATAATCAGGTTAGTTGCTGAAAAGTTTCTCTTAAAGTATTTTAGCTGACAAAAATGAATGATAGAGTTACCATTGCTATTTGCATTTCATTATAATTTATAGCCCCTAAAAATTAAAAAGGCTATTAATATCACCCAAAGACACAACCGGATATCACGTCCCTCCAGAAGGATCATACAGCACCACCTAAGAAGTGGTCTTGCCCCTCTTCTCATACACACATATCAAAATTGAACATAAACCTCAAAAAGTCTCTAGAACTAATTATCACTAAATTTACAGTGGGTACCTTGGTCATGAATGCTTTTGTTTGCAAACAATGTGGTTTGCAAACAATGTGGTTTGCAAACAGAAGCATTTGGCAAAATTTGTTTTTGTTTGCAAACCGCATTGAGTGACAAACACTACCATGGCTATCTTTCCCGCATGAACACAAACATGGCCATCTTTTCCAAAATTGTAGAACAAATTAAGTTTGTGAGCCGAGGTACCACTGCACAAAAAATACAGGGATTATAAGAACAAGTTAAGTGACACTATAATGCTGAAATAAATTAAATCTAGACTACGGAGGAAACAACACATCAGTTGATTAAAGAAAATATCACCACTGAGGTAGTTAAAAGAATTTCCAGTGAATGCTAGTGGCATGGTGATGGAATTTCTTTTGTGTGTGTGGGGGGGGTGTAGGATTGAACTCAGGACCCTGTGGTTACCAGGTAGGTGCTGGTGCTGGAATTTTTATCAGGAATAAGATAATGTATTCTGAAGACACTGTGGAGAAGTCTGGCAGATACCAACTACCCAGGTGATGGAAGTTACCATCACCTGTGCCCCCAGTGTGCCACAGTGAGATGAACCCAGCATAAGTTATGGAATACATGGCCTGGGTCTCATCATGGGGCAACATCAGACAGAGCCATGCTACAGAGCGAAAGCCCAGTCAGAACTGTCAAAAACAACAAGATCAAGGAAGCACTGCAAATGAAGGATCCTGGAAAAATATCTGCCAAATACATGTCACATGACATCCCGGATAGTGTCCTAGGCCAGGGAGCAGAAAGAGCCGTGGTGAGATGGCTAGTGTGATCTGACTGGGCTCTATGGGCGGGAAACCAGTGTCACACCAGTGCTGATTCCCTCACTTGGAGGGCTGGATGTTGTTTACCTGTTTTCCTGTTCTGTACTGTGCACCCTGGAGTGAGTGCTTTGTGGTATAAAACATATGTCTGCAACTTGCTCTCCCAATGTTGAGAAAAAGAGAATTGGCAATGGAGTGAATACAGGATCATAGTAACAGGTGAGGATGCAGGAGCAGGCATACGGGCATTTTTTTATACACACCTGGAGGCAACTTGATGGGGTTCTCCAGCACATGTGTTTGGGCCTGGTTGGAGGCTCGCTCTGTTTCAGCAAGGGCCCGGGCACAGGCCTGAGTAATATGTCTCTCCAACATCTCAACCTCATCCAGCCGCTGCTTATAGAGTTCCCGAATCTGGCAGGTGGATGATCAAATGCA